AATTTCAAATAAATATATAAATGCTAACCAGTAGTATAAAGTATATAAAGTACTTATATTTGAGTATCTTTCATAAATGTGCCTGGTCCTAGTCTCAGGGGGATTCTAACTCTAGCACTAACTTCTAAACACTAAGACAACTTTTCCCAGACTTTCAAAGCAGACACTCTCACAAGGACAATTGGTTTGACATAAGCTCCTAAAATTGGGCTAATTCAGACTACATATCTGATGATCCCCAACCTGACAATTCAGACAGAAAACAAACTAAATTTATTGGTGGGCACCAAAAATACTTCTCGTCAAAGAGCAGACACCTTGGTTCTTCAGTCTCCAAATTTGCCCTGGGCCTTGTTCTTCCTAAATTGCAGCCTTCCTATTCCTGAACAGAACCGCTGTCCTGACCAGTCACCCTAAAAACAGCCGGTGTCTGTCTGGATCTCAGCTCCACCACCTCCCACAACACAATACAAGTCCACACGAAATCCTGCCACCACTGCAATCCAGCTTGCGCACGGGGGTGGGGAGGCCGGAAGAAGGTCTGACAAAGGACAGAAAGCATACAGAAAAGCAGCGCTCGGGAATGTCAGGACTGGCGTTTCCCAGCCATTGACCCCACACAGAGCCTGCCAGACCAAAAGGCATGTCCTGCAGCTGGCCCCAGCTTGAGCCACTCTCTGCCAAGAGGGAAGAACAAAAGCAAACAGCCTCTGACCCTGGGTATCACCCATCTGCCCAACCTTTCCTTTCACCTCAGCTCACCTGATCCTCCTGCACCCCAACTGAACAGCCCACCGGTCTTATTGCAAAGATCTTCTGGAACTGCTCAGATTTGGAGACTCTTGTGGGGGTCACAAATGGCTATGAACCAATTTATTTAAACAAGCATGTGAACCCACCTCAAAGCAAAGAGCAGATATTCCAGGAGCATGCATTTTACTCAAAGAAGGGTTGTGAGGTCTATAAGAGATTAAAATAAACCCATATGCATTACAGAACAGAAGAAAACTCTGAATTACTTCTGGCAGCAAAGATGTCAGCAAAACCTGCCTAGAGCAGACAGACTTCAACTATGCTCCAGATTCCCTGAAAGACCTATTTACCTCTGCCATTAGAAGTTCACCCGTGGAAATGTCTGGGAAGTGTGCCTCAGGGTGCACTTGCAGCCTAGGAGTCATGTGATGATTGCTCCCCGTGGGTCACATCCTTCAGCATGGCAGCAACATCAATGAAGCCACTTCATTTCAAAATTCCCTATCACACTAACCAGGAGTTTACAGCAAGCCTCCTCCTCAGCATCCACTGCCCTTCTCCTCCTAGTATGTTGACAGATAACTCACACAGCCCGTGTTCTTTGGAAAAGCTGACCCAAACCCAATCCTGGAGTTAGATGACATTTTGTTAAGCCACTTGGCTCATTCCTGTCATCTGGCCATGCTCATTGGATTCAGGAGAGTATGTGACTCAAGTGAGCTAATCAGAGTGAACCCCAGCACTCTGGCGTGGACTGCTACAATGGAAGCATCCACTTCCCTTTAGATAGCAGCATGCAAATGCAGAGCATGGACTGCTGCAGCTGCTTTGCCTCGAAGAAGCCTTTCTGAGGCATGAATGAAGCAACAACCATGGAGGCAAAGCATCTGGGAAGCAAGAAGTAAAGTCCTTGGTGATATCAGTGAACCACAAAGTCAAAGCAATTCTGAAAGCAGAGCTACTTCTGGACTTCCAGGAATACAAGTGAACACATCTCCTTTTATTATGTAGACCAGATTGGGCTGGGTGACCGCTATAGCGACAAGGAACACATTCTAACACAATCCGACATTCTGACAAGTTCCAAAAAGTCTCATCCTACCCAAAGCTTCAAGTTTAGTGTGCTCACAAGAAAGCTGACCTTGCAGTGAGCTGAAGACAGATCCAAAGGACCACTGGGGGTTGAGAATGTGCTGGAAAGTTGATAACACACATCTAGGGCAAAGCAATTGCTCCTGAGAGCTCTGTGAAAGTGGGGACTAGTTCTTACTTCTTGATATGTAGAGGGAGGAAGGAGGATGAGACAGATGGCAGGATGAAAGAACAGGGTTCCGTGACCTAGGGCTGGTTCACATGGGAGACTACTGGAGACTGCTGAGGTTTGGGCCATACCCAGAGGTTAAAAGTCAAACATCCTTCCGTTCACAGCCCCCTTATCAACCATGGTTCTGAACATGACAATTCGATATGTTGCATGAGGGTTCCTCCTAGAAAGTCACTCAAAGTATAAAACAAAGCTATAAAGCTATAAAAGGGATTTTTTTTCCTAACTGCAACTTCATTTTCTGAGAATGAATTAAAAAACAAAGCTAGTACAAGGCAATAAGACGTCATGTTAACTCAGCCTTGAGTATCACGCTAAACAATTCTATAGCAATCCATGAACAAAAGCAAAGCAGGAATATCATCAGAATGAGAACCAGAAATAGATTTCCTAAGGGTGGGTTATATGACATGTGAGGCGCTGGGAAGCAAGGTAATCAAGTTTATCATGCAGGTTTTTTTTTTTAATTACAAAAGCTATATTAAGTGCTATAACACAGAGGTCTAAAAGAATAATCCTATCTGTTGCCATAGCCCTATCCACTCTATCATGTACCCAAAGTTAACAAGCCTTTCTCTGAATACATACAAACACATACAAACATAGGTACAATTATAAATCTCCACTTAAAAAATAGGAACACACTACATACATTATAATCAGCCTTTTTTTAATACTTAAAAATAAAAACTGTCTCGCCCTCCAACATGTTACATATTTAAAGTTACAAAATGAAAGCATACATCTCATGGAAATAGTAGCCTGTGAGCATCATGGAAAACATTAATTGATATCAATACCTAGAAACAGAAGTCAGTTCTCTGCTTTTGTTTTAACCAGAAAGAGCATTCCAAGAATAGTTTAGAAAATAAAATTATATACAGCTGAAACCCAGACATTTCGTCTGCTAAAGACTCACGAATGTTAACACTTGGTATTTTGTTAAAAAGGAGACTGTTTTATTTTTTAGTGGCCTCAACAAACCAGGTATTCAAGTGCACGAAAAGTTCTCCTCTCCATCCTATTTTCAATTCATCTAAAAGTGAACTGTGCTTCTTAGAGCCAAAAAGAAAAATGATAAGTAACGTTAGTTACAATCTAATCAATTCCTCCTATCTCCATCTCAGATACCAGTGTTTAAAGGCTGTCTTTTATGTGCTATCAGACCACACTTTCAATTAAAGCTGCAGAACCATCAGGCTTTCCCACCTGAAAGCAGGACTGCTGCACTGGGAGGGAAAAATGACACCGAGCCTCACTGCCAAACCAAACAATGCCTCTGCCCTGCTCACAGCACCCTTTTATACCTTTTCCATATGAATCAGCATTTTAAACAACCTCTAAACTGTAACTACACCTCAGTTCAGTATCCAGTTATCAAATTAATAGTCCAAAAGTAGGATACACACACACATACACATACACACACACACACACACACGCACGCACGCCTCAGGTTACCATCAACTTTCCCCAACAATACCTCAAGAAGGATGAAAAGTTCAATTTCCAGATGATGGCTCACTATCATGAAGAAATTAGTTACCCAAACTTATCCTGGAAACATGCTGGGTACTGTGGTCTGAATGTCTGTGTTCCTCCAAAATTTGTATGTGAAAACCTAATCACCACTGTGATGGCTTTAGGAGGTACGGTCTTTGGGACGTGATCAGGCCATAGGTGGAGGCTAGTCTAAAAGAGGCTTCCACCATGAGAGGGCACAGGGAGCAGGAACCATCTATGAACCAAGAGGAAGGTCCTTTTCCTCACCAGACACTGAATCTACCAGCCCCTTCACCTCAGACTCCCCAGAATTGGGAAAAAAATTTTTCTGTTGTTTATAAACTATCCAATTTACATTATTTTGTTATAGCAATCTAAACAGACTAACACAGGTGTCTAAAGAGAAAGAAAAGCTGTTATGTGACAGAAAGCCATATAACATAATGATTTTTAAAATATATTAGCTTCCACAAAAGCTATAGTTGTTCTTATTTGTATCTCCGTTTGTTTATTTACTTATTTATATTTCTTCCCCAAATTAATTTTTTAAAAAAATGAAGCATGTCTCAATAATCCAGTTCTTCTCCATGTACAGATACACATTTTTTAAAAAGAAAAAAAGAACTCAGAAGCAAGACAAAATCTATTAAAGCCATTTCCAGCCAATCTTTCCCATTTCCTTCTCAGCTACTGATGTGTGGGACTGAAGCCCCATCTCCTTGGTTAACAATATAAGCTTTACCTCCACAGATGCAAGTGCTGTACTTTATGCAAACTCCTGAAAAGCTTCAGATAAATCTATCTTTAAATGTTTTAAATGTATTTACAAAACTTGCTAAAGTAACACCGTGAAATCCCTTATAAAGAATTTTTACAAAAGTTTTCTACTGTTGTCTATATTTATATGACTGCATTGTGTATATGGCATTGTACTATTCCCAAGCACATATTTGTATCTGGTAATTTGCTCCTGTCCCTATCAAAGACAAATGTCAAGACGATTCATATCAAGACAGTTCATTGCCTTGCATTTTAATGAGTAGCTTCTCAATGCTTAAACTTTACTAATATTAGGAAGGCATGCAAGATGTCTATGGATTTCAGAACCCCATCTACACAGATGTTCTTCAGTGGGCGGGAACTAAAATATTCCACTTGCTTTAGAATTTCCCCAAGACCCTGCACAATACACAGCATACAGCTGACATTCTTTAAACATCATTAGGAAAGATTCTTGACTCTAATCAATATTACTCATGTGCCAAATCAGCAAACACTCAAAACTCTCTCTGAGGGTATAAACAAATACTTCTGGACTCTAAGGAACAAAGAGAGAAGAAAAGTCTGAAATAGGAAAGCCAGCTCTCTTCTTCAACACACAAGAGTCTAAACACCATAGGTGAACTGCATGTGTACTCACATATATTTCATTATGATCAAAACGCTTCTTGAGGTTGTTGATGAAGGTCTCCTCATTGAGAGGTTCTAGAAGAACCATATCTCCAACTCCAATCATATTGTCCAGAAGTGACGTCTTCACCTCCATTTTGGCCATGGTCTTCCACTGTAGGAGAGAGGGAAAGGAGTCACTTTAATTGAGCAAAATTATTTCAGATGGGTTCTTGGCACCAATGGAGAAATGACCCTGACATGACTCATGTCATAACCTCTCCTTCCCGAAGACCTACGTCAGAGGCCTCTGACATGTTGCTATTGCGCCATTTGCCAACCTGCTGCCAAAAGTGAACCTCCTGCCCAGTCCATTCTCCCAGGCAAAGTCCACCCATAGAAAGAGCTACTGGGAAGCCATGGTCTCCATTTTCTTCTTTAGGCCATTCTCCTTTCCATGACAGACTGCCAAACTCCAACAACAGAGTCCAATCCACCCCTCCCAGCCTTTGCACACCAAAGTCAGACTTGAACCCATAAGTCCTCCAAGATGATATCCTCCACATTCCATGATGAAATTCAGAATGCATTTTCCCAAGAAATACTATTTGAAAAATAATGCTGCCAACACTTTTGGGCACTTGCCAGATAGTGGACACTTTACCAAAGAACTTCACACATATTAATTAATTCAATCCTCAAAATAACTCTACAAGGTAAGTATTGTTATCTCCATTATAAGGTAAGAAAATCAAAGCTCAGAGAGATTAAGAAACCTGCCATGATTACTTAGAAGTGGTTTGTCTGTGGCATGCAAGCACTCTGCCACCACTTACAACACTGAACCTTCAGAAGATCTCATTCTAGGCACCCCAAACTGACATTCAGAAAAGAACACAACTCATAAGTGAGGTTCCCCATAGAAGATAACCTGTCAAGAGTGAATCCATGTTCTTAATTATCATTCCAACAAACATTCCACCATAGCAGCAAAAAGACTAGGCCATAAACACAACAGTTTCCCTCTGGTTCAGTGGGAAAGTCCACCAGGAGAAACACAGGCAAGCTACAAAGGCAGCATGCTATCCTCACTGCGAATGTGTACAGTCCGCCAACAGAGGAGTCCTTTAGGGTCCTAATCTGATCACTGTCAAGTGTGCTAAAGTTCTTTTCAAATATCTGAACATAGCAAAGTATGTGGAGAAAGAGTGTGTGTGTGTGTATGTGTATGTGTGTGTATGTGTATGCCCATGTTTGTTAATTTCACCAAATTGTAAAACTAAGAGTGATCCCCTCTAAATTTTTCCAATGCAGAAGTGAAATTTATCCTACTACTGAATAACACTTCTAATAAATACTTACATATATGTATACGTGCCCATCACAAATGGGTGGAAAGTACATTTGATTCTTCCACTAAGGCATTACCCAGATGCTATATTATGTAAAAGTCAAGCTGCTTGCTTAAAACTTAGCAATTTAAATAAATTGCTCTCTTGCTCTGGTCTCAAATATTCAGCAGGTCCTTAGAGGCTGCTGAAACTGCACTTAGTTGGATGTTTTAAAGTAAACTGGGAAGGGCTGATAATTAACTCCTTATTATTAATTACAAGCAATGTAAATGAATCCACAAACATATCTTTTATTTATGACCCCATTAAAAAAATTTGTTTTTTTTTTCTTTTTGCTCTTGAAAACCAAAAAAAGAGACTAAAATGAAACCAGGAGGTTCTCTAAACCTAAGAAGTATTTAATACTAGAAGAAAACTAGAGTAACCTTCTTTAATTTTTTTTAAATTCATGCCAACCACACCTGGAATAAACAGTCCCAGATATCACTGGCCACAAAGGCAGCCCAAAGAAGATTTCATGTATTTTAAAGTAGGCTGGGCTCTGTTTTGGAATAAAATAGGTGAGGGTGGGAGTCTTCTGCCATTTTCTGGGGATGGAGCAGACGCCAAGTAGACAGTGAGGCTGACGCCAATGTCCACAGAAAGTCGTGCACAAGAATAGACTGTGAGTGCCCAACCTCTGTCACAATAGATTAACATTTAAATCAGATCTCAAGTTCTCTGTCTCTCGTGTAATGCCAAAAGCACTCTAGTTGCAATGCATTACATATAATTTGGCAGATGAGGGAAGAAGGCTTAGGGATTAAGGGGGAAGTCAACCTGAGAAGGGTTTCAAAAATAACTACCTCAAACCAGCAATTTGAATTAAGAAAAGTGGTTGAATGGGAACTCTCTGTCCGCCTGGGGTGGATTTCTGCACATAGTCTATTTATGGAAATAGCTGCAGAAAAACAACACCACTTTGCTGCAGGTACAATAATTAACCAACCAGTCTATCTCTGTAACTAAACCTGCTTCACCATCTTTACAAATGTAAGTTTCAAGGAAGTTTGTACAGGTTGTTATTTTAAACTCCTATCCCAACTGTACAGTCCAAAGGTGGGGGAGGGGGTTTAGGGTAACAGAAATGCTGAGTAACAGGCAATTGATAAAAAGTGTAAAATTAAAAACACAATTTTTACAAACCAAAACAGGACAACAGAACAAGGCTAGCTGAAAAGGACACTGCCTAGATTCATTTAGTCATTCTTTCATCTTATCAGCATGCAGACACTTTGAAGGAGAATATAGCCACAACTTCCTTCATTTCCAAGGTAAAAACAGGACACTGAGTAAACAGCATGAGGGTGTTGGCATATCATCCTAGAAATGGACTGGTTTCCCATGTTGTTACAACCATCTCCAAGCTAGGTTCAGTTCACCTTGACAAATTAGTTGGTTTGTTGGCTCCACCAAAAGAAAGTGGTGGAGCCAACAAACCTTCAACGGAGCTATGCAAGCCTATCATGGGAACAAATTTCAGAACCACTTGTTAACTCAACATTTCCACAAACCATCAGAAGAATCCATATGGAGTTATAGGGAGATTTAAATGGGAATGTACACAGAACACTGAGGATTCTTTTTGTTTGCAACATATATAGATGAAGATAAATAACAGAGAGATGGATAGACCGATCTTCTTCCTTCTCAAGAGCCCTCACAGGGATCCATGCTCTCCTGGAGAAGCCAATTCTAAGCCATGCTCCAGGAATTAGCATGTGATCTACACTAAGTCAATCAGCATTCCCAGCCATCTTCCAGCCACTTTAATGGATTCAGGGTAGGGTATGTGACTGAGCCTGAGGCTCTGGCTAGGACAAGGGGGTTCACTCTAACTCTGGATGGTGTGACTTGCAGATATGACACTTGGAACTGCTGCAGTCATCTCTGCTTTCATAAGAGGCCAATTCCAGGGAAAAGATAACACACAGAGGAGGGCGGGACAGGAAAATTACTGAGAATTATTAGTGATGGAGAACCAATGACATCACAAACCTCTGGATCAAATTGCTCTTGAATCCTATTGTTCCCCTACCTCTCAAGGTTTTAGTGATGTAAACCAATCAGTTCTCTTTATGGTTGATCGAGTTGGATTTTCTGTTATTTGCAACAGAAAGCAACTTACCTAATAATAAAAGAAACTATTAGCAGGAAGAAGAATGTTAAAAGTAATACTAAAAAACAGGAACCATCTGGGTAAAGGCACAAGGTGGAGGGCAAGGAGTCTTCTCTTGAACTGGAAAAATGATCACCATTGATAATGAACAAACAGCTACTGAAGACTTGGACCTTGTGCCTGCAACACTGAAGAATGTGGGGAAAACTCAGGATGCCAGAATATGCATTAGTGAAACTGGCCTGTGCGGAAAGGTCAGAGGAAAACATGGTACAGCTCAGAGATGCCAATGGGCCTGGAGTGATCTATACCAAGCCAACTGTTTAGCCTCTACAGCCTGAGAAAGGGGTAAGTGCTCCTACCCTGAAGATGTGTAATCTGAGAGGTACTACCATGCTCCACTGCTGCCCTTGCTTCTTACTGGCTCCACGTGGATTCTGTTAAGCAAGAGCTATAGCACTCTGCAGAGAAGCAGGGCCAGGAGACAACTTCTCAGGCCAGATCCTAACTTCAATACCTTGGGTCCTGCCATTATCACCAACTTTGGTGACAAGTCAACAGCAGCAAATAACCCTTAAAAACCAACCGCATTTTTAAGGAAGCTAAGGTGCCAAGCAAGTCAGGCTGATAATCACTGTCTGATCTTTCAGGCAATCAAACCCCAAGTCCCTCACCTTACAACAACACAAAGGAAATGCTAAAGCACACCAATCCCTAAACAAAGTCCTCTTCCCAATGCTCATCTCAGATGTGGCCATGGAAAACAAATGAACCAAGAAGATCTTCTTGGAGGGCAGCATTTCTGAAGAGGGGTGACGATGATTTCAGCTATGCAGGGGGAGCTGCATTATGTTGGTTGGCACATTTTATTTTCCAAAGCAAAAGTATGGTAAGCAAAGTCCATGTGAGTACTGGACAGCCACAGAGGACGGCCATAAAAGACTCTTTCTCTCTCTCTCTCTCTCTCTCCCCCATCCCCAACCCCTCCCCCCCAATGGGAACACTATGCAGTATACAGTCCAAATTCCTGTTTGCACCTGATCTCTCATCTAGGGAGTCCTTGGGTACCTACAGTCTTGTTAGTAGTGGTGCCCAATTTCCATTACAGACTCCAAAGGAGACAGATTTGCTCTCTCTTCCGCAAGAAAGGCAGAAGGTGAGAACTTGGCTTGGGTGCAGGAAATCAGATCTTCCTGGGAGGTGATGACAACAGGTGGTGATGGCTGGAGGTTACACCCCTCGATCAGCAGCAGCAACAGCAGCATGAAGACTAGTCCCCTGGCCTTTCCTCACCTCCTGTATGCCTCCCAATTCCTGGTAATCCAAACTCTCTGCAATTCAGTATATCTCTATATCTTTCCTACTTTGCCAGCAGCAAAGATCCCTAACTGACATGAAACTAAACACTGTGCCCAACATCGAGTAGTATACAGTTATTAGATCGTCACTATTATATAAAAAATAACCTTTATCCCCTCTCTTGGTGAAAGCAATCTACAAAACACAATGGCTGGTGGAGCCTCCTGAGAATCCACAGGGGCAGCCTGGAGGCAGAGACCCCCTTCTCAGGGTACTGATTTTAGGCCAGCCATCAACCCACCAACTGGTACCAGTTGATTCCATAGCTGTGCAGGCTAGGCTGTCTCTAGCTATTGATGTACCCAA